TGCTCATCTGGTAAATATCCCTACCTACAACACACCTCATGACGGCACTAAGCAGTGATCCTCCCTGCAGAGAAGCACAAGTGTGAGTCTTTCTTTAATTTGGTGATTATAAATGCCAAACAAATGCAATATCCCTCAGCAATCCAACTATACATTTCTATTATTTTTTCTCATCCCACTCTTCTTAATTACTTCACATATTTCCATGTCTCCTCCTGAAAGCTCCTACACCAATCTTCTTATCCTAACTCTCAGCTAACCATTTAAGTCATAATCCACTAATAAAATAGAAACAAAGAGAAATTTCCTCCTACTTGTACCCAATAAACAACCACCAGGCTCTGTACTGGAATTTGTTGCCCTCCCTTCTGTTTCGTTGAATGGAAGATCTCTATCAAAAATTTCGTAAAAAGCCAACCCCTCCACCATGCTCTGAGTTCTGTATTTTCATGGATTCAAAGAGAAATTCATTGTACCATGTTGGGGGAAAGGTACGGAATATATGCTAAATATCAGGAACTGGGCACTCAGCAGTAATCCAAAGAAGCTTGTAATGAAAAAAAATTAGTCAAGTCTAGTTGTGTGTGGGTATGTCTGGGTGTATGTGTGTTCGCACATCTGTGTATTGTAATTAGTTTTCTTAATTTCCTGTATATTATTTTTTAACATCTCAAAATACATTTCTGAATGAAGAGAAGCTTCCATTCCTGTGCCTAATCAGTTCTTAGGGATAGCAACAGGTCCAGCTGGGAGCATATCTTTGATGTGCAAATTAACCAATGCAGAGGCGCTGATCTATTTGTCTCCTATACTCCAGGAGGCAATATTCCTGTCTTAATCATCCCATGTCCAGTTGCCAGGCAACTAGAGATTGCCCTTAAAGCTCAAAGTCGGCCAAAATTGTTCACACTTGCCAATCCTATCCTTTTCATTCCATCCGTATTGCCTTTTCCACAAAAACCCCAATAAGGGCAGTTACTTGAACCTTCCCCTCCAGTGTCTTCTGCCTTTGAACCATCCTGTTATCTTTTCCATGATGCCCTCTGTGTTAGTGTTTTGCATTGCTATAAAGGAATGTCTGAGACTGGATAATTTATAAAGAAAAAAGATTTATTTGGCTCACATTTCTGCAGGCTATACAAGCCAGACACTAGCATCTGCTTAGCTTCTGGTAAGGCCTCAGGAAGCTTTCACTCATGGTAGAAGGCAAAGGAAGAGCAGGCACATCACCTGGCAAGAGAGAGGGAGCAAGAGAAATGCCAGGCTCTTTTAAACAATCAGATCTTGTGGTAAGTAATAGAGTGAGGTGAGGGCACATAGCCATTCAGGAGGGATTCACCCCAATGACCCAAACACCTCCCACCAGGTCCTACCTCCAAGATTGTGGATCACATTTCGGCAAGAGAGCTGAAGTGGATGAACATCCAAACTGTATCACCTTTCGTGGTGTGGAGTGCCTCACCTCTCTAGGACTTGCGAGTTTCATAAACTTTGTTTTCCTGAGGCTCTTCCCTTGTGGTCACACCTGATCGCTGACCATTTTATAAAAAGAATACAAAAAAGTGTATGAAGAGAGATACCAACAAAAAGTTCCAGTGAATGGAAGAATCTTTGAATGGAAGATCTCTATCAAAAACAAATAAGTACCAATCATTTTCTCTAATACTAATGTTTATCTCACCCTCAGATCTTTGTACAAATCCCTATTAGAGTAGGTTCACTTATAGAGGCATATTTACCATTATGCTAGTAAAGATGAAGCTTCAGGATCTCTCACATGCATAGGCCTTACTAGCACCCAAGGGACCCTAACATACGTACAATTTTAATTTTGTATTTACAGCTTTGCATTCATCTTTTAAAGGCAATCCCTTAACGTGCATGAGCCTCAGGTCCTACAAATCAAGATTTGCATATTTATATGATATACATGCTTATGTATCCACAAACCTATAACTTTGATTGAAACTAGATTGTGCTGTGATATTGCAATATCTGACTGTTTCGTTCAAATACTCTCTTGTGATCTGAAATAGAGACATTCTGACTTCACTAGCAAGTGTTGAATACTAGAATTTTTTAACAAAATGTAATTGTTAGAAGAAGTTTGCGTTTACGAAAAAATTGCAAAGATAAGCACAGATACAGTTTCCCTCAACCTCATACCTCATTCTCTGTATTATTAAAATCTTAGAATAATATGGTGTATTTATTAGTTAATGACAAATATTGATTCATTAGTATTAACTGTAGTCCATATCTTATTCAAATTTCCTTTGTTTTTACTTAATATCCTTTTGCTGTTTCTCAATCCTAAACAACCCATAGTTGTCATGTGTCCTTAGGCTTCTCTTGGCTGTGAGAGTTTCTTAGATTTTTCTTATTTGTGATAACCTTGATATTTTTGACGTAGCACTGGCCAAGTATTTTGTGGAACGTCACTCTGTTGGGATTTGTTGGAAGCTTTTCTCATTAGATTGGGGTTACAGATTTCCTTTGCAGGGGAAAGACCACAGAGATAAATTGCTATTTTCATCCCTTCATATCAAGGGTTCATACTAGCAATGTGACTTATCGCTGTTGATGTTGAACTTGATCATCTGGCTGAGACAGTGTTTGTCAGGGCTTTTCACTGTAAAGTTATTCACTCTTACCCCTTTCTGTGCTGTCCTTTTTGGAAGAAAGGCACTCTCCGCAGCTCACACTTAGGAGGTATACTTTCTTTCCTTGAGGATAGAGTAACTACATGCACTACTCTTCTGCATTGCAATTCTCTGCATGGGATATTTGTCTCTTTTCCCGCATTTGTTTATTCAATCATTTATTTACATCAGTATGGGCTCATGAATATTGCTTTTAGGCTTTGTCTTATAATACTTCTTTATTTTGTTGCCCAAATTATTTTGTTGCCCAGATTGTTACTGCTTTCAATTGTTGCCTGTGTCCAGGTGGTGTACTCCCAACATTGAGTGTTGTTGGTTGGTTGATTTTTAGCACAACCTTGTTTCTTGGCAACAAAAGATGCTTTATCTTCCATATTCCCTGCCATAATTCCAGAGTCAGCCATTTCTCCAAGGATCTATGACTCCTTTTCTTGGAGAGACCAGAGTTAGTAGAATCCGGGCCCTAGATGTGCTCATTGTTACTGGGGTATAGTTCATTTGAGCCCCTCCCTGCTGAATGGAAACAAAGAGAAATTTCCTCCTCCTTGTACCCCATAAACAACCACCAGGCTGCTGAGAGAAAAAAATGAGATATATGCGTGCATATTAATTCATGTATACAAATATATATAAATATTTCAATATGTGCCTGTTCCTATATTAGCTAAAAATGAGATTTTATTGACATCTCCAACTTTAATCCATACCACATAGATAATTGAATTATTTCCTCCCTTCTTTGCCTGTAAATTTCTACTATAACAGTGAAAAACATGGTTCTTACCATCTACCATCTGTTTGTTTAATTATTTAGCTTTAGTATCTAAGCATAGCAATATCAGAATTGTTGCCCACATCCCTGTAGGGAAATAATTTTTATAAAGTAGGTTACAATGTTTAAGTTTACTTTATCTTTAGTTTTAGAGATTCCGTTCATTTCCAAAGGTACTCAGGTAAGCAACATTTTTTCCCAGTGCCCTCAATGAGGTTGTTTTATACGTTTGAAATATGGTTAGATTGTTTTGTCACATTGTGCTTTCTAGCTTTCAACTCCATGTATTTTAAAAAATTGCATATGCTAAATTTCACTCTTTGTGTTGTAAAGTTCAATGGGTTATAAGAGATGCATTGTGTCATGTATGCATAAATTAAGTATAATACAGAATAATTGCACTATCCTAAAATATCCACAGCACTTTACCTTTTTAACCCTTCCCTCTTCCCAATGAACCATTAGAACCCAATGATCTTTTTGCTCTTTCTTAAATTATTCCTCTTCCAGAAAGTCATATAATAGAAATTATATAGCAGGTAGCTTTTTTCACTGTCTTTTTTTTTTCACATAGCAATATGCATTTTAGATTAATCCATGCCTTTTTGTGACTTGAAAGCTTACATCTTTATTACTCAATAGTATTCCACTATAAAAGTGTTCCAAAGTTTGTTTATTGACCATTCACCTATTGGAAAATATCTTAGCTACCTCCAAGTGTTGGCAATAATGAATAAAGATATTCTAAACATTTGTGTGCAGGTGTTTTGGGGACAAAAATTTTTTAATTAGTTGGGTAAATAACTAGGAGTGTGATTTCTAGACTGTTATGAGATTATTTAGTGTTGTAAGAAACTAACAGCTACCTTCCAAGTGGCTGTATCCACCAACAATGAATGAGTCTTCCTGTTGCGTCCCATCCTCACCAGCAATTAATTGATAAAGTCATTTTTTTTTAATTCTAGGCATTTTAATTGTTATATAATTCTGTTTCATTGTTGGTTTGTCTTAAAATTCCCTGATGACAAATCATGTTGAACAACTTTTCCCATACTCATTTGCCACTTGCATATCTTTTTTGCTGAAATATCTGTTCAGATATTTTGCTCATTTTAAAAATGTGTTGTTTTTCTCTTGTTGAGTTTTAAGAGTTCTTTATATTTTTGATACAAGTGTTACTGTCTTTAAACTGTCTTTTTATTGTCTTAAAATATCTTTCATGACATAGAAGTTTTTAATTTTAGTAAAGTGCAACTTATCCCTTTTTTTTTTTCCTTTCATGAATTGTACTTTTGGCATCGCATCTAGAAACATCACCAAACCAGTGGTCATGCAATTGTTCCAACACAATTTGTTGGAAAGTCTTTTATTAGTCATAGTTCTCCAGAGGGACAGAGCCATTAGGCTATACGTATAAATAAAAGGGATTTTATTAGGAAGAATTGGCTCGCAGTATTGCAAGGTGAATTCCCACAGTAGGCCATCTGTAGGCTGGGGGAAGAGAGAAGCTAGTAGTGGCTCAGTCCGAGTTGAAAGTGTCAAAACCAGGGAAGCCGACAGTGCAGCCCTCAGTCTGAGGCCAAAGACCTGAGAGCTCCCGGAGGCTGCTGGTGCAAGTCCCCGAGTACAAAGGCTGAAGAACTTGGAGTCTGATATCCAAGGGCAGAAGAAGTAGCAAGGCTCAGACATAGGAAGACTGAGAGCTAGAAAAGACTCAGCAAGTAAACTCACAGGCTTTCTCATCCTTGCTTTGTTCTAACTGTGATGGCAGCTAGTTGGATGGTGCCCACTCACACTGTGGGTGGGTCAGCCTCTCCCAGTACACTGACTCAAATGTTAAAGTCCTCTGGAAATACTCTAACAGACTCTGTTGCCCAGAAACAATACTTTACAAGCCATCTGAACTGCAATTTAGGCATCCCTCAATCCAGTCAAGTTGACACCTAATATTACCATCACAGCTATCCTTTCTCTACTAAATTGCCTTTGCTGCTTTGTCAAAGATAGGTTGACTATATATGTGTGGGTCTATTTCTCAGCTCTCTGTTCTGTTCCATTAATCTATTTTTCTCTTATTTTGCCAATTACCACAGTGCCTTGATTTCTATTATTTTATAATACCTATTGAAATTGGGTGTGTATGCTAATTTTGTTTTCCTTCAGTATTGTGTTGGCTATTGGTTATTTGCCTTTCCATATAAATGTTAGAATCACTTTTTCAACATCTACAAATTTACTTTTCAGGAATTTGCTTAAGATTGCATGGATTCTATAAATAGATCTGGGATAAAGTGATGTCTTAAAAATATCGAGGCATCCAATCCTGGAACACAGAATATCTGTCTATTTCACTGTTGTTTTATTTATTTCTTCAGAGTTTTGTAGTTTCCAAATTGTTGGTATTGTTTACATTTTGTTATATTTATACCTATTTCAATTTTGTGGTGTAATTTTAAATAATATTATTATTTTTATTTACATTTCAAATTATAATGAAATTATAATTCATGCCATGCAAAAGAAGAATTAACTATTGTATATTGACCTTGTTTCTTGTGCCCTTACTAGCTTCACTCATTAGTTTCAGGATTTTTTGTGGTGGTGGTAGACCCATTGGTGTGTTCTACACAGATAACTATGCCATTTTGCTAAGCAGAGAGTTTTACTTCTTCATTTTGTTTACATAATTTTTATTTTCTTAATGGACTATTTTCTAGTGTTTTCTTACTTTCCAATCTTAGGCAGAAATATCCAGCTTCTCATCAGCGAGTATGATGTTAACTGTAGAGTTTTGTTTAGATGTTCTCATCAGTTGAATAAATTCTTTTCTATTCCTTGTTTGCTGAGAGTTCTATCATAGGTGGATGTTATATTTTGTGAAATGTGTCTTCTGCATCAATTAATACAGCCATATGGTATCCTTCTTTAGCCTGTAAATGTGGTGGATTACATTGATTGACTTTTCGATTCTAACTAGTCTTACATGTGTGAAATAAATTCCATTTGATTGTGGTATATAATTATAACTATAAATATGTAGATTTGATTTGTCAATATGAGGAGATTTGTTTTATGTTCATGAGAGATATTGGTCTGTAATTTTTCTTTCTTATGATATCTTTATCTGGTTTTGATATTAGGGTAATTTTGGCTACATAAAATGAGTTAGTAAGTGTCCCCTCTGCTTCTGTTTTCTGGAAGAATGATAGAGAATTGACATTATTTCTTTCTCAAGTGTTTGGTAAAATTTATAAGTATTATACAACCATACAGGCCCGGTATTTTCCTTTTTAGGAGGTTATTAATTATTGATAGGTAGTGAAAATTTAAGTATCAGAGAATTAGGACCAGAGTCAGCAACATATTACTAAGACATATCCCATAAATTGTTACAGAGAAGAGAAAATAAAGCACCTTACATTGGGATATGTTCTCCAAATAAGAGACTAGGTCATATATGCAGAAATAACATATCATGGACTGGTGGCAAGAAGGAAAGGGAGAGAATGTCAGATAAAGAGAGCATGCTACCTTATCCCTTTACAATTCCTACAAGATCAGACAACAAGTTAAAGTGAAGAAGAAAGTGACTGAGCGAAAGTCCTGGACCTGAATCACTTTTTTTCCAGTGTTAACCAATTTGAGTTTGTTTCTTTTCCTTTCTTCATAAAAACAGGATAAAAAGAATTATTTCATGGATTTTTAATGAGGATTGAATGCATATGTGTGTGTGTGTGTGTGTGTGTGTGTGTAGACAGAGAGAGAGAGAGGGAAAGAGAGAAATAACACTGAATATACGACAAGGATAAATTTTCCATGTTTGGTACCAATAAATAACGCTTTTTTGAAAAGATATTTATCAAATTTACTCTAAAAGATATATATGTAGCTTCTTAGAATATGTTTTCTATATCTGCAGTCAAATGTCATGTAATCATGTATATGAAAAAATTTAGGCACAGTAAAATCAGTATTTCAAGGCAACTGTTTAGGTCCTCTAAAAGCATCCCAATGTAGTTTTATAAAACAACAACTTTCTTTGAATTAGCTAGTCAAATAACAGTACAGATTACATGCAATGCTTTAACATTTTTTTAATGTATTACACACGCTTTTATTTGTAACAGTATTATTCATCAAAACCTATAGCCAAAACTTCTATGTGTTTCCTTTTTACATGCTACATTTGGAATATGTATAACTTCCCCACATTTGGAATATGTATAACTTCCCCATTTAAAAATTTACTTATTTTTTTTCTTGGGATAACATTTATTTGGAATTCTAGGCAATTAGGGAGATAAAGCACAAATGTATTCAGTTCTTTTTTTTTTTTTTTTTTTTTCGAGACAGAGTCTTGCTCTGTCACTAGGCTGGAGTGCAATGGCACAATCTCGGCTCACTGCAACCTCCGCTTCCTGGGTTCAAGTGATTCTCCTGCCTCAGCCTCCTGAGAAGCTGAGATTACAGGCACGTGCCACTACGCCCGGCTATTTTTTGCATTTTTAGTAGAGACAGGATTTCATGATGTTGACCAGGATGATCTCAATCTCCTGAACTCATGATCCACCCGCCTCAGCCTCTGAAAGTGCTGGGAATACAGGTGTGAACCACCACACCCAGCCTGTATTTAGTTCTTTAAGATTTTTACTGTAACCTTGCATCCTAATGGTCTGATGCCCAATTAAACATTTTTAAAATGTTTCTGTGTTTATAATTTCTATTTTAATTTTAGATTCAGAATGTGCATATGCAGGCTTGTTTGTGGATATATTGTACGATACTGAGGTTTGACATACAATTCATTCTAACAGTAAGGTACTGACTACTCAATAGTTAATTTTTCAAACTTTGCCTCTTCCCTCTCCTTCTTCTAGCAGCCCCCAGTGTCCGTTGTTTTCATATTTATGTCTGTATCAGCACTCAATGTTTAGCTCCCACTTATAAGAAATAATATGCAGTATTTGGTTTTCTGTTCCTGCATTATTTCACTCAGAATAATGGCCTCCAGCTGCAACTATGAGGTGATGGTCCGTTAATCATGTTTTTCTCTCTGTATTAATCCTAATTATATTCTCAGCATGTATTACCTCTGACTCCTAAATAACTTGAAGACAAAATTTCCAAAGGATAATCAATAGTGAATTCAATCAATTTGTAGGAGTTTTATATGAAGACACTATTTAGAGATGCTTTCCCTCATTAGGCAGTAGTTATTGCTTATGTATTTTTTATGTATGATTAAATTTGCTATATGATAAGCAGTTTATGGCTACAGAATGTATCTGTTTCTTCAGAAGTACCTGTGATCCTATTACTATTTATTGGGAGAATTTTGAGTAAAGGCTTTTAGCCTCTTTGTAGTGTGAAAATGTAGCATTATTGAGGAAGGATGACTGGTTTATGAATCCTGCTCTTCAACAGACATATATTTTTTGCAACATTAATATCTTTTATAACACCTTCTCAGTAATTAAGACATGGGCCCTGCTCTGATGGAGCTTTCAGATTGCTACGTGAATGTGGAATAATAAATATATATTTGGTCTCTGCCCCAGTTCCTGACACAGAGGTCTTATATTCCTTAGAATTTATTGGGTAATAAGGAGGATGTTTTGTTCTAGCAAGGCAACTCTTGGTGGGTTCCTGCATAGCTCCAGGATGGGAGCTGGTTACCAGAAGATCCAAGCTCAGATTGGAACTTTCAGCTTCACCCCTGCAGCCATTTCCAGAGAGGAAAGGGGGCTGGATATTGAGTTACAATTTATGGTGCTTAGATGATGAAACCTCCATAAAAATCCCTAAACTGCTATGTGCTCCAGAGATCTTCCAGCTTGGCTAACACATCCATGTACTAGGAGAATGTACAATCCAGTTTCATAGAGACAGAAACTGTTATGCTTGAGACTCTTCTGAATCTTAATTTATGTGCCCCTTTATCTGGCTATGTCTCTGTATGCTTTGTAATATCCTTTATTATAAGACAGAAAAATGTTTCACTGAGATGTATGAGCCATTACAGCAAGTTACAGAACCTGAGGAAAAGGAATTATGAGAATTGTCAATTGGTAGCAATGTGGTCAGAAGTGCAGTTGACAACCTGGGACTTGTGATTGGCATCTGAAGTTGCGAGTGGGGAGGAGTCTTATGGGACTCAGCCATTAACCTGTGTGTTCTGCACTGACTCAACATTTAGTGTCAGGATTTAGTTAAATTGTAGAATACTCAGTTGATGTTCATTGAAATTTGGAGAATTGGTTAGTGTGGGAACCTATCACACTTTGATGTCAGAAGTAAAGTGATACAAAGAAAAACAGAGTTTCATTATTTTCTTTAGTGGACCTCATGCATGAACAGACAACATTGTAACAATATCAATAAAATGAAAAAAAAAAAAAAAGCAGTGAAATTTACTCAGAACCAGGGTGAATAAACCTCACCAGCTTAGGGGGAAATTGTCATGGAAGTTTTCCTAGAAGAGATGATATTTTAGTTGAATCCTGAAAAATAACAAGTAGAAAATAAAGAGAAAAGGACAAAAATGGAAAGGAATTAGTGAATACAGAAGCAAAAAAATGCACAGTGTGCTCAGAGTTTTTAAGCAGAATGTGTGAAGCAGAATTTAGTCAATGCATTTATCTGGGAAGTAATCAAAATGAAAACATTTGAGACATTTTGTTTTTAAAAATTTAAAAACAAAAATCTCCCTAAGCTAACTAAATCTTGAAAACCCTGAACTGGTACCCATTTCAGGATTTTCAGGATTTGGTTAGCTTAGGGAGATTCTTGTTTTCAAATTTTTAGACTTGAGGAAAATCATAAGAGAATGATGTCAAAGAATATTATAGGGTATCCAGCATAAAATATCTCTACCTAATGACTAGATCGAGACGACATAGAACCCTGTGTGGTTGGGAAAAACAAAACTAAACAAAACTTCAGGCCAATATTTCTGATGAACATAGATGCAAAAATCCTCAATAAAATAATGGCAAATCAAACCCAGCAGCGTATGAAAAAGCTAGTCTACCATGCCCAAGTAGCTTTTATTTCTGGAATATAATGTTGATTCAACATATGCAAATCAATAAATGTGATTCATCATATAAACAGAACTAAAGACAAAAACCACATGATTGTCTCAATAGATGCAGAAAGGCTTTTGATAA